TGGCCCACAGACCACACTTTAAGAAGAAAGTTCCAAGCAATGTGAAGGCGAGGATCTTAGTGTTCTATCCACTGCAATATCCAGATCATGTGTGTCTGCCCCAGAAAAGGTGTTTAATAGATTAGTGAATAAATAGTTACTGAATTAAATACTTAATATCTGAGATACCACCTGGCTGCTTGAATTCTCTTAAGTTGCAAGATATAAAATATGTTCGCTTTGGCTCCAAAATCAGGGCTAATACTAATACAACATGCATTGAGGCACAGAGAGGTTGAGTTACTTGCTCAAAGTCACACAGTTAATGTAGCACATTGTTGTTTGCCAGCTATTCCTTGTGCTCCCTTACATTTCCTAATCTCCCGTGCAGTTAGTTGAAGCTGTTGAACTAATTCTAACCAATGGAGTGTCAGTGACATGGCATGTGTCACCTCCTAGCTGAAGCAATTAAGAGCCAGCCCTCTTTCCTCCTCCACCCCTTTCTTGTCTGTTTTGTACTCTGCAATCTGAAATATATGGCCCCCAAGGTAAGATTAACAGGAATGCTACCCAGCCTCCAGAGGACTACACACAAGGAGACATAAATCTTAGCTGAATTTGAACCACTACAAATTTGAGTTTTGTTATCATATTATTCTAACTAGTATGGGCTCAGTGTTGCCATCAGACAGCTCTTGGCATAAAGGGCTTTTTGTCTGGTAGCCTAGGTCCTCTAAAGGGGAGCTTACCCCCAAATGAGGCATGTCTCAGTCCTGCCAATGGGGGAAACCCAGATGCTAGGTGCTGGGGCTGTGAGAAATAAATGACAAGTGCCCTGAGAAATGTCTGAAAACAAAAGCTTTTGTGACAACAGCTCAGTGACCGTTCTCTGCAATTGGCGAAGGCTCTTTCTCTGCCAGGCACCACTTGCTGTCTAGCTGTTCTTTAACCATATGGAGGCATGTCTTCAAGCGTGCTTGGCATGAGGTGAACCTTGCTTTCAGAGGTTTTATGGGCTCCGTTCATGAGCTGAACGAAATCTTATTTTTGGAACATTATGAACGCACACCTTTTCAAGTGATTGACTTTATGACTTCTGTTGACTTGGTTAGATGGGATGTAGTTTTTCTACATGATGGCATATGGACTTGTATGTCCCACAGAAAATAGAAGATGCATCATCCTACTCACATGTAAACATCAAAAAGACAGGACTATTGTTTCTGTTTTTCTAGGTGGATGGAATTGAGTGGACTAGAGGAACCAATGACTTAATAAAAAAATAGATAACCTAAAAAAATAGATAATCATTGTAGAAATCAAATCAGTATTTGAGACTTTCCAACCTTCCCCTCCCTCCATCCATGTTTCTCCTTTTCTGTTAAAGATGCCTGGTCAGGATGTTTTTGCTGAAGGATTAATTCTCCAAGGACCAACTGATCTCTATTCTCTGAAATACTTTGCATCAAATGGAGTACAGGAAGCGACCCACCCATTCTGGAAGAGTAGTATATTTTGATAAAATAGTATAAGGACAGTACTAAAAGAGGAAATTACAGACCAGTACCATTTACATAAATTCTAGCACTAGATCTGGAAACTCAGCAGTATATACACATGAGTAGATCATGATAAAGTATGGTTTATCCCAGGAATATAAGGAAGATTTAACATAAGAAAAATGTATTCAAGTAATACACTATGTTAGAATTTTAAGAGAGAAAAAGTACTCAAATACGTTATATAAATTTAACAAATGTAGTTGTGGAAAAAAAAAAAACCTAAGCAACTTATGGATAGAAGGGAATTACCTTAAGCTGATAAAATATATCTTCCAAGAACCTATGGAAAAATTATGCTGAAACTCTAAAATTATGGTGAAACTGTAAGGAAACTTTTCTCTCTTCCAATATTTCTCTTTCAAGCTCTAATCTTTGCTTACATAGAAAATACAAAGAGGCCCATTTTAATTTATAATTTCATATCACATTGGTTAGGACATTTCTTAAACTGTTGAATAGCGGAGGGTGATAGGAGCATTCCTATGAGAGCTATTTCCATGCCGATGTGTAGGAATTTCACTGATTTTTAAAATATTGAATTTGTACTTGGCAATTTTGCTACTCTTATTGCAAGTGATATGATGGTCTAAAATTCTCTTTCTTCCTTCCTCATGGTTTTAACTGATTATGCAACCTATAGTTTTTATTGTTACTATGAATGAAATCTTTCCCCTCGCAAAAAGGGAATAAATTATAAAACGTTATTGGTCCAGCACAACTTTATTTCCGTTACATTTTCAAATCAATTAGCAGACTAAATGGTAATAACATGTTCCCACTGATGGAAATGCATCTGTAAATTCAATGCTACAAAAGGCTATCTTTTTGACTTCAAGCTGGGGAGAGATTTCTAAAGGAAAATTTTTTCTTTATGGATTTTTAATAGGGTCTATATTTTCTTTTAAAAATAATTCAATAGCAAAAATGGACAAGGAATACCAGCAGTCTATGCACAGAATACGATAGAGTCCAATAAACACTTACAAAATATACTGTCTCACTAGGAATCAGGGCAAGGCAAATGAAAACAATACACTGCTTCTTCAAGTTTAGACATTGCCAAATACCACATGGAAGTTCCTATTTCTCTATATCTTCACCACGTCTCAGCAGACTGTTAACATTTCACAACTATCAGGTTGAACAGCCCCTTTCCGCACAGGACGATTGCCATACATAACCCTCCTGCGGCACTCAGCCTGTGATCCGCTGTGTTAGATGTCACTAATGGTCAGTCCACCGATCTGCACACAGAGGTGGTGGGACGGTATAGCCCCTTGCGGAGGTTGTGTGACCACTTCTGGGGGGTGGGTCGCGAGTGGAAGTTCTGTGTGCTGTTTCCCACCTGTGCCAGATCCCTCTCCTCTTGCTGTCACCCGAGGAAGGAGCCCAAGTGCTTCAGATGGCGCAGCTACAAGATGGGACCGCTTCCGTCAGACAGGTCCCTGGCACCGTGGGTGCAATGTCAATGAGAAATAAACACTTGTTTGGTTGATTAATTAGGATTGCAAGAGAAAAAATGACGCAAGGGCAACCATTTTTGTAAGGTATGGGTCTAGAAATAGAACTGCAGGGCATGGATGCGGAATCTGGCACCCAATTGCCATTTCCTAGATGTGTTAGCGAAACCTCGCCTGGCCTACCCTAGTTTTAGAGAGACGTAGATAAATATTTTTTTTTTTTTAAAGATTTTATTTACTTATTTGAGACAGAGAGAATGAGAGACAGAGAGCATGAGAGGGAGGAGGGTCAGAGGGAGAAGCAGACTCCCTGCCGAGCAGGGAGCCTGATGCGGGACTCGATCCCGGGACTCCAGGATCATGACCTGAGCCGAAGGCAGTCGCTTAACCAACTGAGCCACCCAGGCGCCCGAGAGACGTAGATAAATAAAATCCACTTCTTCCTATCAAGGAACTCAGACAAGCAAGCTAATATTCAAAACACAGGATGTTTTACCTTGTCTTAGGCGGTTCAGCGCGGTAAACCCCAGACGCACGTGGGTAATGAACATCTGAAGTGTGGCTAGGTTTCCTGAAGAACTGAATTTCTCATTTAAATTGAAAAACGGAAGCAGTTAAAATCTTGCCACTCAACACAGCTTAAGTGTCTCGGTAAGACTGTGTCTCATTATAAATGAAAATTTAGCATTAAAATTTAAACCTTCTGTAAGTTGAAAATACATACCAGGTTTCTAAAGATTCTGTTTTAAACAGTGTATATATACACTTTGTACGCGTGTGTGTTTATATACACAAAATATCTCAAGCAATTTTACGTTTATTGAAAATGTTTTGGTATTTTAGATGTACTGGGTCAAATAAAACATTTAACTTCACCTGCTTTTTACTCTCCTAACTGTGGCTACTAGAGAGTTCAGATTACATGTGGGGCCCGCATTATGTTCCTACTGGACAGCACTGCTCTAGACCAAGTGCACATTCCTCAGAAGGCTATCCCATCCCATCCAAGGTGTCTGATCCCTGCTAGAACCTTAAGAAGTCAATTCATACTGAGTGTAACCTGTGGCGGCAAAAGGCTCTACATGTTGCAAAGAGCTTTACAGATGCCGGGAGTTTCCTGCCAAAACACCAGCTTGCGCGTTACTTGGCTCATCTTCACGTGAACGTTCTTCTTTCTTGAACTGACGTTTTCTTCACAACAAAATGTGGCTTAGCGACTGCCACTCCCTCACTTTCTGGCCTGGACATCAGCTTCTGCCCAGGCCCCTACTCTGTTCACACCGCAGCTACCCCTGGTCGTCCACACGCAATTCAAACCCCCCTTGAGGCTTCCACTGCCTTATTTGACTTCCATCCCCCCCTAAATAACCGAAGGCGACAACTTACTAGACTAGATCTATGGGATGGAGGATGACAACTCCTCTCGGCTAACAAATGAGAACAGCAAATTGCTGATTTTAGGTCACGTTTTCTTCAGGGTCTGCCAAAACTCAAGTCCGGTTCTCCTTCTCCCTTTTTGTCTCCTTGGGTTGAGATGAGGGAACCAAGCCCCCACTGAATATCCTCATCCTCTTTCCTCCCAGGTATGCGTGGAGCCAGAGGTGAGGATGCCTGGACAGACGGCGTCACAGTGTAGCTGCCCACGTGGTCCAGCAGGCTCGTCAGCCGCTTGGCAACTCTCCCTCCCCAGGCCCCTCCCAGCTGAGAGGCCAGACACGGAGGGCAGGTGCAGTGGCCACAGACCATGGGATGAAAATTGTTACTGCTGCCCGAACCAGCACCTCTTGTGAATTTAAGGCAGAGCAAAACAAAAAAGGGGCCTGGTGTCATTTCAGGGTACATATGGTTAACCAGCAGCGCATCGACTCCAAAATACGCCCTGCGGGAACTCAAGGCACCTGCGCCGTACAGAAGGACGCCTTTCCATGTTTCAGAGACGTATCCCCCAAGAGAGGCTACGTAATAAATAGCCCCCCGAACACTGAAGTGAAAGGGCAGAGAACATTTTACAGTTGCTTTATTTAACAAAATTTACGCCAACTTCTAGATCTATATACAAACGTGTTTCAAAACCAGAGCAGCAAACACACCGTTAACACAGCACTTACAATAATGCTTAAAACGCGTTATGCAATGTTTTGTTTTCTGCTCATACAGACATTTACAGATTCAAAAGTTATTCCAAAGGCCGAGCAACGTCACATCTTTGTTTCCTGGGATGATTTACTTAGTAGGTTGTGAAGAAAGAGGGATGGAGCTCTTGAGGGTTAATAAACTGTGTTCAGTTTAGTTTAACAAACAGCATTTGGCCCATGGTAGGGCTCACAAAATGTTTTGGGCAGGGGACAAAAATTTGGGTAAAATATGATCTATGAGACTATGAGTCATTTTTTAAAAATTTTCACTCTGTCCTAACTGTAACAAGATGGTCTCATTTCTGACCCCCAAAAGTAAGAAACTCTTAATAAGTTTAAAATTTTCTTAGTAAGTACTATTAATAAAAAAATTTAGTGAGTACAGGTCCTTCAAAATCAAGATGGGGTATGTAAGTACTCAACACAGTTCTACCCCTACCTTGTCCAATTTTGTTAGAAATGTTTCATGACATTTACCTACGTGTTAACAAGCTATTTCCTAAAGTTCTTCACATAGGGAGGACAGACATGTTTTGCTTTCTCATTTTTTATGACTTTCAGGAGCCCTCTTAATGCCTCAAAAAAGTACTGTAGCTCTGGAAATCCCCAAAAAACTTACGTAGTCTACTTATAAAATTGAGCTCCATATGAGTTACATAAGCTGACTTTTAGGTAATACTTGAAAAGGCGGCTGATGCTGCAATGTATAAATATTTCATGTTGACACTTAACACTCTGACCTGATTCATGGTCATCTTTCCTGAAAGGTCATGCTCTAGCCTCTCGAGAAAGATGCTACCAAGCAGTGAGGTATAGAAGGAGGAAGAAAAAAAAAAATCACAGCCTTTTCTTCTCAGTGTCTTGGGAGCCTTCCATCAGGCTGGCAGGATACACGTCTACACGCGGCTCACGCTTCAGGGCGCTCTCCTCTATGTGGTGAAGTGGTACACAGGATCCATTTCCCAAAAAGCACCAACTAGAAATGCACGGGGATGAAATACTGCAACGAAATGATCCTCAGGAGTTTCTACTCTTGTTTGTTCATATAAATCAGATTCATCACTTACTTGTGCTTTCATTTTCTAAAAATGAGATCACACCATTATAAAAATGTGCTTCCAAAATAATTTCTAGAATATAAAATGTCTTATATTTTTCCAGCCCACATAATTTCATTATAAAATAGGAAATCAGAAAATTAGCTACTGCAGTTTTCATATGGTAAAAAATATTTATATGTGTACACACACGCATATATACACATATAAAAAACCCAAGTTTTAAATTTCAATAAAAATTAACCAATTAGCCAACTTAATGATTATGTATTCAATTAGACATAAGAAATGTTGATTATCTGTAATGAGAACCAACTACAAAGAATTATAATCCCACCTATCAGAAGATAGTCTAAGACTTTCACATGTGTAAAAAAAAAAAAAAAACACAGAAAGTTCCAACTAACCAACAAAATGGAAATCTCACTCAAGTCTTTTTCAGATATAACGGCCCCCAGTTTCATTCACTGCACTATCGAATTCCCTAAGGAAGGAGCAGTCTTAAAGTGAGGACAACAGAGCTGGGGCCGCCCTGCGGGTGTGTTCAGCGTGGTGGTCGCTTCCTGGTGGAGTGGGCAAGCGAAGATGAAATCCAGCCTGAGCTCCCTCAGCCAGGCCACCGACCTGCCCAAGGGGTGGTGCAGGTGCAAAGGGAGTGTTTCCTAATGCACACAAAGGTGCTGTGTGGACCAGCCGTGGTCCTGGCATCTGCTGGTGGAGAAGGAAGCAGGTGTTCTCGAGAGTTACTACCTAGGAAAGGTGAGCGAGAGGGAGAACAAGACTGGAGAAGATAAATTAGAAGCAGACTGTGACTACCGGTGAAAACCGGGAATCGTGTTTCTATAACCTCCACAAAGATGGTGGGATGTTTCTATTTTGTGGATTCCTGCCTGTTTTTTGTATTTTCATGAGGGAAAGCCTTAAGGGGTCTCAAAGGCACAAAAGGAAGGGGACAGGAGGTGAGCAGGGAAGCGTGTCACTCCGCAGGAGAGCCGGTTCAGAGAACTGCCAGAGGGACAGCAGGCTATGGGCTGGGGGGCAGTGTCTGAAATCCTAAGTGGTGGAGAGAGTGCGCTCAGCCTTCGCCCCCGGTCTGTGCCTGAGTTCTCAAATGAAAACTAATGGTCACATTAAAGTCATAAGTCTCTTCACAATCCTACCTTGAACTGTCTTCCCCAGTTTTATCTATGTTTTAGGAAGCCTGTTCATTCACATTTTAAATTGGTTACTTTATGTTTGTGAGGGTGGTAGGGACAAACAGGAGAGCCTTACTTTTAGATATTTTCCCTCTGTGACCATGCCTTTTTTTTTTTTAAAGGCACATTCCCTCCCCAACTGTCATAAATCAGGACATTCAAAAAGAAAGCAAAGGTTTAAAAATGTTTCTTTCCTCCCCTAACATCTACTGCTCAGGCAAACCCTTGGAATCATTCCTTAAAGTGGCCAACAAAAGCACAAGGCTCTGTGCTAAAGACAACACTTCTGAGTACTGCCGAGTGGGTGAGGAATTTCAAAGAATAGCCACTTTTCTAGAACCAAATTTAAGATAACAAAGTAGAAAGTGTAATTTCCATTATGTACCAAATATGCAGCACATGAGTTAATGCAGAAAACAACGGATGTGCACACCAAGATAGGGTTTAATTCCACAGTAGCATTTTGTATGCAATGTGTAAAACACTCTAAACTTGCCCCTCTGAATAGATCACAGAAAATTTGTACCTACTCAGAAAAAAGGGGTGCTAAACAAAGAAAAGTCTCAGATCCCACTGGAGATCTGGAAGTTTCACTTCTCTCCAGAAAAATGCGTGTACAGATTTGTGCATACTATTTCAGGGCCTTCAAATACCTTCCAAGGTCCAGTCTCTTATCTCAGGTTAAGACTCCTGGCTCTCAACATTCCTACAAGGTCTCTGAAGAATGAACGGTCCTCCCATTCCTACAATCTGTGTTTCTCCTACTGAGTTGGGGAGGGGGGGAGAACAAACAAACTAGAATAAACTAAAAGTAAGAAAAACAATTTGCTTCAAAGACCGTTTTTTACTTATTTGCCCTTGGAAGAAAGGACATCCCAATCTCTGGTTGCCTCTATCAAATGCCGTTGGCCATGACTCATCCACTCCTCCTGGTCTTCATACAGCCGCCCACAAAACCAGCACTTAAATAGACACTGAGATGAGTCATCAGGCAAGGAATCCACCACCTGGTAGTTGTTTTTATGCACTTTTTTAAGTTTCATTTTCAACATCATCTGCCTTTTTATCTGACTGGCCTCCTCCACGTTCCGGTAGGTCAGGCGAACGTGATGCCGTCTGATGCCTAACTGACACCTAGTCCTCTCCGATAAGACGACTTTGAGGACATTGCCTTTGTACTTGTTGATTACCTTCATCACATTGGAGACTTCTGGAGAGTCAACATCAGGATGGTTTAACACAATGACGGGCTGGTTCCGACGGGGGCATTTAATCAACTGGTCTGGTTTAGCGGCGATCAGTCGAAGCTGTCTTGCAACCTGAAAAATTGAAGGATCCTTGAGATAGTGGCTGGGATCAGCCTGGATTTTGCTTTTCTTCTTGGATGAGTTCACTTGTTTGGTTTTATTTTTACTTATAGGAAGACTTCTGGAAAGCAGTTTGCCTTGTTTACTCAGTTCACTGCTTCCTGGTTGCCCAAGCCAGGGGCCAGTTTTTTTAGGCATGGTCCCACAAATAGCACTCTCTTTTCTTGGTTTTGGCCGAAGAGGTATATCAAGATTTTGGGACATGTCCATTGGCCCGCTTTCACTTGTCAAAGACTGTAAGTCTGCGTCTGTCTGTCTCACTGGGCAGAATGGAATGGGTTTTATTAACTGGGTCTCACTGCCAGGTATGCTGACGGGTGCTTCACACGTTGCCTCTATAATGTGGGCGTCTTCAGAAGAATTAAGAACCCTCAACACAGCCCCTTTGGGGATCAACACTGGAGTAGCGGCATGGGCGTTCCTGGTTACTCTGCTTTCAGTTTTCCCACTGCTGCCTTCTATAAACTGTGGGTAGATTTGCTGTTGGGTGCGTGGCCCATTAAGACCACCATCATCCTGAGGTTTTGGGAGCGTGCCTGTGGAATAGCCAGGGCCAGAAAACGACACGTTAATTTCGTGAATACCTTCAGGAGCAGCTTTCGAAGTTCCCTTCGATGCCTGCCCTACAGAACGGCGATGTGCGTTATTTGCAGACAAAGACGACGGCTTGCCACAGGATTCGATTAACTGAGCTATCTTTCTGCGCAAGAGTTCAATTGACTTTATTTTGGACGTTGAGCTGTTCCACTTAACACCCTCAGGGACGTTTTCAGACCCAGAGCTCAGAGAAAATACTGATGAGATGACTGGACCATCGAAAGAGTCCTTAGTCCTTTCAGGATTCTTTAACTCCAAAGGCTCCTCCCTGGGCAGCTGAGACCCGATTCTGTCTTCTGATATATTTATGTGCAAATACTCGCTTTTAGGTTGAGAGGAAATCTGGCCTGTATTTGAAACTGCCTTGGGTTCCTCCATCTGCTTGTCTTTCGACTTCCTATGAGAGGGAACCATTTTTACAGGAATACTGATCTCCTTTCTGGATTCCAAGCTATTGGGACTTAGAGGCAACAAGCGCTTTTCTCCAGAGAAGGACATGGTTGCAGGCGACACAGCCCGGGGAAGTAACTGCTGCAAGTCACCGTGCGAGTTCTTTCCATCTTCAGCCAAAGAAACAGCAGCTTTATAAGGGAAAGGGTCGGACGCAGTGCCGAGACTGCGGAAAACACTGTTTTTTGCTACAGATGCTGGAGAATGACCTTTCAAGGAGAGAGAGGGAAGAGCCTGTCTATGTGGATACATACTACTTTTCTTCTGGAAATCCTCAACTGTATCCGGGTTGAGGAGGGATTCTCCACGGTTGTGCGCACTAGAATTTGTCATGAAAAAATCATAAGACCTGACCCACTTCACATTTTTAAGTTGTTTCTGAACTGACGACTGAAGGTTATCAATGCCTGTCAGTTTCCCAACACGCCCTTCCATCGCCAGGGACTTCGTTTGGCTTGCAGAAACCAGTTTTCCTGGTCCGGCCAAACCCTTCTCTTCAGTCATACGCTCAGAATCACCCCCTGCACCGCCAGCAGCTTCAGGGCGGTTCCTTTCTTCCAGAGGAAACAGTTTCAGGACAAGCTGCTGGGTCCCGTTGACGACCTTCACATCCATCAGCTGCGCTAAGCAGTTGGCAGGGACGACGAGTTCTGCTGGTGCCACCACGGTCAACGGCATTCCCGGCTGCACCGGCTCTTTCGCCGGGGACACCACTTCTACCTCCACGCTTTGGTTCTCAAACACTCTGCCCTCATTGGGCTCCGACAAGGTCACTTTATCCGGAATACACACTACATCTTTTTGGTATTCCTTTGGTTCAGGCAACAACATAATATTGTGCATTTTGTCTTTATTTGTATGGAGGGAGAACCTTGAGAGTTGATCGGACAACTTATTCTGAAATGCAGTCCTTGGATTGGGAGGTTTTAAGAGCTCTGTGTTTTGTTTCGATGTGCTGGTTCTTTTTGGCTCCAGCTTGGCAACAGTTTTGGGCGGCCGCCTTCCCCCGGCCCTCTCGTGTACTCTCCGCCTGTGTTTGACAATGTAGTCGTTCCTAATAGCACCATAGTCGCAGTACTCACATTGGTACGGGAATATGCCTGTGTGCTTCACCAGGTGCCTCTGGAACTCCCCTTTTGTGTAGGAAATGTAGCTGCAGTGAGAACAGATGAATTTAATCTCTTCATGTTGAAGCGTGTGCTTTTTGTACTGCAGAGGGTCCTTTGTGGAAAACCGACATTTATCACAATAGTATTTGCCTGGCTTGAAGTTCCTCACCTTAAATTTGTTATTGACGGAACCGGCGATGGCTTCAGCTTTATTTCCTACAGGAGTAGCACTGGGATTACTGTTCACAAAGTGAAAATGGGGAGTAGCCACACCGAGGCTGCATTTGAAGCAAACGTATTTGTCTTCCTTCTGGCTTGGCCCAGTACCCTTTTTCAAATCTTGAAGTGGGATTTTGTGAACACTTTTGCACTTCGCACACGTAGCAATGGTCATCACGGCAGCCTCGGCCTCTGACCCTTGACACAAAAGAGCTTGTGCTTCTTGTCTATCTGGTCGAGTCGCTCTATTAGCATTCGGTTGTTTGGGTGACATGGTCAAGGAATTATGTCCGTCATTCCCTTGGGTGGTATATAACTGCTGTCCAATATCCTTCATCTTCTTTATTTGCATTTCTAAAAAGAGAAAGCCAGAAAATCCAGGAAGACTTCACATGATAAAATCCTTAGGGGCCATCCTTCATTTAACTTTGTGATTGGCGGAGAACCAGTGACTTCCTGGGGGGCATAGTCAGTTATCCTTGTTTATAAACCACCACAGTAGGTGGACAATCCCAAAATAGGATTGTTCCCAATTCTCTGATATTCCGGGCAACACTAAAGGGGGGAAAAAAAAAGACATCATAAAGCATGGTTAAAATGTGAACCTAAGGTTTAGTTAATCTATTTCCAAACTTCTCCTATATTTCAATGACCTTTGAATTTTATGTGAAATCTTGACATATTTTCTTAAACACAAATTGCCAGTAAAACGTAATACAACAGAAATGGCAAATAAGAAGCCTAAATGGAAGACATTTTTAAATTCAGCCCCCTAAAACTCATCACTTTAGACCAACCATAAACCAGCTGTCATTCAGAACAGCCCTTGATACGTGAGAGTTATTTTTAGGTGTCACAGAGAGCATCCCAGCAACTTCACAGGTACAATTTCATATTAGCCTAAATAAAACTTCGTGCAGGAGGATGCTATTTCAGTTTTTAAATACACAAATTATCAGGTGGTGGAGAGGGCCAGGGCTTCGGCTCAGGTATCCATTTGTTTCTACATGATAGCTAATTAGCAGCTTGGATTCCCAGCTCTCATTCACTCCATCTGCTTTCACAAATGTAAGAAGTCAAAAATACACTGGCAATATTAGGTAGACAAATACTGATTCCTTCAACATCTTA